TCCAATCTGAATGCACCAATAACAGTACATAAAGTCATTCAACAAAGATAAAATATCTGCTTTGTTAATTTCCATTATCATAAAGTGTAATATCTAGGAATTAATAAAATTGTCATCTTTCCTTTTTTTTTCTTTAGCGCTGACAATCTACCATAGCATTTCACCTCAGAGCTTGCCACTAGTGAACAACATCCATGTCTGTGAAAGCCCCAAGCTTCTCCAGAACAAGCAGTTCTGAAGTGTGCCAGTTAGCTTTGCAGAACTGCACCACCAGATTTGTTGCCACTCCTGAACTATTCCATGCTGAGTCCAAATTATGTGAAAGGGAATGCTGGTACCCTAAGCCACTACGCCACATAGGCTCCGAAAAGCAAACTGTCACACCTACCAACGTGATTTGCATTCACAGAAATGTGAATTTAAGGTGTAGTCTTGAAGTTGAGACATCTCTGGCATTTCAAGCTAGGTTTCAAACAACATTCAAGGATTAGTAGATAAACATAATTAAATAGACATGTCAAATCTTTAGTTGGTACCACCAAAACCACTGAATCACTTTGACTCTTTTCAAAGCGTAAGTTTTCTTGCAGATTTTAAAATATTGCTCATACTATTTATTCTTTATATACAGTAATTTAACAGTTAATTAAACTGTTTAACTAACTGAAAATATTCTATCTTTTACTTAAAGAAGACAGTCTACTAGGGTTTTTTTCCTTAAAGAGGATAGTCTGTTAGGTTTTCTTGTTACTAACACCTCACAACTGACACACTTAGAAGCACCTGGCGAATTCTTCAGAAGTCAGGACTCTCTACAGCTTTGTACTTTTCTAATTTCACAGTGTAGCATCCTTTCTTGGGTGAGGAAGACTGGACTTATGAAATTCAGGTCCACAATGACATGAATCTACCAAACAGCCAGCCTGTCACTGAATTAGTAGCAAAAATTAACTTACAGTGTAGAATAAAAATAGGTTTTTATCTTTCCATGTCAACAACTTCATTTCTGCTCTTCATGCAGAGGGAAGATAAAAAAATCTGGTAGCTAAAAATATGCTATGCTTTAAGCTGTATATGTTACAAAATCATCACCTCAACCTTCAACTGAAGTGTTACAAAGAGTCCTAAACTGGGCAACCCTGAACGCAGCCAAAGTGAGCTCTGAAGTTCCTTTCCTGTTGCCATCATATGGAGCATATGGAATCCATAAATCTGATTAAGCAATCATGGTTAGCAACGACAAATTTATCTAGATTATTAGATTTTTCATTTGAATTTTTCCATTTCTCAAAAAATCATCTATTTAGTCATTATTTAGTCATGTTTGTGGAACACTGTCAGTTTATCCATATATTTCTATGAGGTATGTCTTTAGAGAGATATCTCTCTTTTTTTTTTTTTTGATAAAATAAGGAATCTGTGTGTCTTTGAGACAATTTTGCTGTAATAGGGTAAATAAAATTTCTTCCTGAAAAAACTTCAAAGAACCCCCACAATTCAGGCAAAAACCTAGCAAGTCTCATTAAGAGCTCCTGTGAACAGTTTTGTCTCCTAGTCAGAAGCAACCAACAGATTTCCAGGGATGAGGGTTGCAATATGACCCCTTTCTGCCTGCATCAATTTCAAATAAGTTGATTCCCCAAACGTATAATTAGTGGTGAGAAAAATAATGTCAGCTTGATAGGTCTAAGTGGGAGATTCTCATTGGAATTATTAACTGCCACGTATAGTAACTTCGTAATTTTGAAAAGAACCATAGAAATTAAAAGAAAAAAAATCTCAGAATTTCATATCCATAGAATTACTTCTCTAAACTAAAAAAGGTAAAGAAGAGATAAAGGAAGCAGACAACAGATTAGGACTTTTTGTATGACACTGCTCCTAAAAGTGCTTTGTTGAATTCATCTCTCATAGAAGCCACTGAGTAAATGCTGAAGAGGCAGACCAGCTGGTTCTTAAACACTTCACCAAAAAGAAGTATTAATGCAATAATAAGTCTGTCTATATGGACATAAACAGTTATTTGCCTTTTCCTGGTATCTTCAAAGAGGAAACACACATCTGGGAGATTCATTTAAGAAGTTCAAAATGGAAATACAAAGTAAACTTTATTTACAATCCACAGACTAGGAATGCTCACTCTTTTCGTAATACACTTTATGAAACCGAAGGCGTATTTTCTAGTTACAGTTTTACATGTAATTTCTAACTGAAACCCTTTTCTAAAATGCAAGGATACAATGCTTGTACATGACTCCAATCACATTCCATGGGCAACATGAACTCCCAGTGAATACTAGCTTTCTCAGAATTAGTATCCAACAGAAGGGATGTCAAATCTAAAAGTCACAATAGTGGCAAATACTGTCAACACTTATTTTATTACAACTGTGAATGCACATGTGGAGCAGTCCGTGAAAAAAAAAACCTCTGAATCTTGCTCCAGTTTTTCATACAGGCTTTTCTTTCAAATTATAACTTGTTTAATATGGGTGCAGTACTTAGCACAAAAGAACTGCAGCCTAATATGCTTTTAGGCACAGCTGTAGTATTGCAGTCAGTCTTGGCTTAGCATTTTGCTGAAGGTAGTCAAGGTACCTCAATTATTTTCACACACACTTTTAAACAACACATTTATGTGCCGCCCACCACGTGCAAATTCAGTAAGAGCGCCATACAGGTTAATTAATTAGCAACATAAAGAGTAGTTAACTCAGATGGAAAAGCAGCACATTAAGTACATAGTCAATGTATAGAAGACACAAAATATTTCAGATCCTACAGTGCTATATAAGAAACCTCCTACAGCATGCCAGTATTCTTCTACTTTCCTGAAGAAAAAGTAATTAGCTGCTTCCCCCCCCCCCAAAAAAAAACAACCACAAAACAACCAAACCATGACTAGGTTAAGTCAAACGCGTTTGGCCAAAGATTATATGTTAAACAAACTTTAGGACCTTTACAGAAAAAGTCATATTATACCATTGTGTGGATATTATCTGACTAGAAATACTTCTATCAGTAGCAGTGAATGTTTTCCAGTTTTCATAATCATGCATCACTTTCAGTCAATACTTAACAGCATTTCAGTAAGGTTTTCAGCATGTTGAAATAAGATTAAAAGTTAGAATAGTTACTTATGATAATTTTTTTAGTGTAATTTGCAGGTTGAAAATCAAATGAGTGAAAATAAAAAATGAATGCCTCAAGACTACATTTACCATTGCCGTCACAGCAAGCTGCAGATGCTCAAATGACAAATTAAGGCTACCTCAAAATATAGAATGTATCAACACTACTCTTGCTTCATTGTATCCTGTACACAAATTGCTGAATTAACTGTCGGAGGAAGGATAAAGCTTGCAGGCTGTTTTTGGCCCTGGTATTTTTATTTTCACTGAATGTTTTGATTGTAGGGCCTGGGAAAACTTTCCATCTTAATAACTCTTCTAACATTTAAGAAAAGGTCCCCTGAGATAAAGGCAATGTATCAGTGTCATATTCATTGCCTATCACACTTTGGGAAACTTTCAATTAAGCTGTCAAATATATGACCTAAACCCAGTTATTCTAAAGCAACATGGAATTACAAGATTTAAACAGCACCTTTGTTTCAGTAATATGTTTTATCTTTGCTCCTTCCAGAGGTATGTTAATCTACTAAAAAAAAATTCTTATCCTTTGGATTTTACTGTGTTATAGTACATTAACAAAGACGAACACAACTGGCATTCCCTGCACTAGAAGCATCCCAAGCTCAAAGTGCAGGCTCTCACACACTGCCAAGTGCCAAAGGCACGCTGGCAGAGAAGCGGCCCTGGCCTCCCACAGCCACCCCATCCACCTGTTGTGGCCATGAGCACCCCGACAGCCATAGGCAGCACTTCCCACAGAATCACAGAATATTCCAAGTTGGAAGGGATCCACTCTTGTGCAGAAAAAGTGGATTCTTTACCCAGCATGCAACAAACCATTAACTACACACTTGAGAGAAACATTTACTATTTATTTCAGAGTTGTGCGAGCCTGGGTGCTCGGTGGTATTCCACAAATCAAGCACACCAACTATCAAAACTGTCCACTATTTATACATTTTAGCAAACACAGGCATTAATGTTCACTGGTTACAAGTTACATAGTTTCTTTATTTATTAGTATTCTATCTTCTATCGGTTAATGACTCCCTCGCTTCTCGTGCTAATCAATCCGCATGCTCAGTCCTTCTCTACTTTTGAGTCGGTGAGTTTCTTGGGTCTGTGGTCCATGAGCCAGTCATCATGATCTCCCCCATGCCGGAATTACCTTTTACTCAGTTGGAGCTGATTTCAGCACAGCTGCTGAGTTGTCTTCATTAGTTCCTTCCTTATCTTGGGAGTTCTGCCAAATGTTCCTGTGCCCCGTAAATTCTGCATTCTTTGTATCCGCTATCAGTGGTGCATCCTTCTTCCCAAGCTTTGTTAACCTCCCCCTAGGTCTGAGATCATCGAAGCATGTCAAGCCCTACACCTTAACAAGGCAATTCTACAGGTAGGTGATTTTCTTCCTAACACATGGAAATCACTCAGAGCTTGATTGTTAGCTGCTATGTGATTCACGGGTTAAATCTCCTTTCTTGTTATCAGGCTTGAAAAGTATACAAAGATCAAACATCAAAGAACATCCTCTCTTGAGAAAATTTTTACATCTTCCACATTTTGCAGCGCCGCGCGGATCAATCCAAGCCTGGCCCTGCACAGGACAGCCCCAAGAACCACCCTCCCCTCCCCCCTCAGGAACCACACCAGGCGAATGAGAGCGTTGTCCAAAGGCTCCCCGAACTGCTACAGGCTCGGTGCCGTGCCCACTTCCCTGTGGGAGGGGCGGCGCGGGTGGATCGAGAGGCGCGCACGCCGGTGGCGGCTGAGGGCAGACGTGTGCTAAGCGCCCACGTGACCGCCGCGCCTCCTGCCCGGCGGAGCCACGTCCGCGGGGGCGGAGCGGGGCGGGCGCGGCCCCGGATGGAGGAGCGGGAGGAGGTCCCAGCGCCCGCTCCCGCACCCGCCGCCATTTAGACAATCCCGCAGCGGCCGCCACCCGCCACCGCCGGGGCTGGCTGCGTTGGGTGCCGGGCTGTTGCCGCCGCCATCATGAGGCGCCTGTCGCAGCTGCTCCTGCTCGCCCTGCTCGTCTTCCCTGCCGCGCTGCTGCTCGGGGGCGCCCGTGGCGGCCCAGGTGAGGGCGGGCGGATGAGCGGCCGCCGCTGCCCGGGCACGGGAGAACGGTGGTGGGGCGGGAGGGATCCCCTTGGCGGTCCGGGGAGGGGGAGCCGCTCCCGCGGGGCCTGCGGAGCCCAGCGCCGCCTCCGCGACCCTCCCGCCGGGAGCCGGCGGGCGCTGCTCATTCATCGCCCCGGGCGCACCGCGCACGTGGCCGCCGGGGCTTCGGGGCCCGGCCCATTGCCTGCGGGGCCCCGGCTCCGTCCGAGGGCGCCTCGGCGGGATGCGGGGCTGGGCCCCCGTCTCTCCCAGTAGAGCAGTCCGCGGTGTCGGGCAGGGCCCTGCGGCTGCCGCCAGGTCCCCGGGCCGGGCCGTGACACCGGCCCGCCCAGACCCCGCCTGGGGACGGGGCAGAGTGCTTGTTCTTTTCGCCGCTCCCCGGCGGTGCTGGTTCCCACATTCCCCAGCAGATGCGCTGGCTGCCACCCTGCCTTCCCACCTCTTCTGCCGCCACCCCCGAATGTCCTTGGCGACACCGAGGAGCGCTAATCTCTGTTTACGCTGCAGCGTTATCTGATTCATGGTCTGGAAATTGCCTCCCTACTACTAAGTTTGGGAAGGCAGGAGAGGGAAGGGAGGCTTCTCATCCAGCTCTTGCAGTGTGCTGCAGCACGCACTGTGTGATAGTCCCTTCCCACAGCCGGCAGCTCTCCTTTCGCGCTATTGCCACATCATCATCAGCCCCTCCGACATCCATTGAAAAGACTGTAAGCTACGGATATGAAAGAGTGTGCTGGGCAGCAAAGGGTGCCTATGGCTTACCTGTACCCTGTTCATTTTTAAATTGAAATAATCTTTCGTACACTTGCAAGTTTAAAACTTCAGCAAATAAAATCACGGTAGTTAATGCTTAGGTTAAGTATTGCACGTGCTCGAGCAAAAGTCTTTGAGTGTACTTTCTGAAGGCACTTGAGAGGAGGGGTTGTGTTTGCTTTTTCTAGCTCTGACTGACAATTCTTTAGTCTTCGGATATACTTGTCCTGCTCAAGGATTCTTATTTCCAGTGAAAATTTTTAAATATTTGTTTTAAATGCGTATTTATAGCAATTAGATATTTTTCAGACTTGGGTAAATCAATCACATCCGTTCATTTCTACTTTTTCATATATGGAAAACGTTAGGTTTATTAACAAAACAATCTGTAGTTTTGTGCACGTGTTTTAAAAGTTCTCAGCCTTGCCTTTGCTGTAAACTGCAAAGGGACAGAACTTTGTCCCATGGCCAATATTTTTGTTAATCATATTTGCCCAGTGTTTGAATGTATGAGGCTTGGCTCCATGAAAGCAAAGAGGCAATGAACTATCAGATTGCACTTGTCTTGGAGCGTTACTCTAGGTCAGGTTTCTTTTCTGACTAATGTTGTGGTTCTGTTGCATATATGGATATATTAGTACACTATATTGAGGTCATATTAAAAAAAGAGTTTTTTATATTTTAAAACTTGAGTGAAAATAGGTGCAAAAAATAATAACTTTTTATCTACCTTTCAAAGTGTGCTGTTCTGTTATCAGTATGCTAATCATTTAGTAGACTTGCTAGTCTTAGAAGAAACAGTACTTACTAAATTAATTTCCTGGCAATAGCAATGTCTTATTTTCACTTTTTAAATTACAAAATTAAAATATTTTCATATGTTAACATGTTCCAAAATTAAGCAATAGCTTTTAAGGCAAATTTGTTGCTTTCTGCAAATTTAAGCATTGCTGAGTGAATGCTGAATTTTATGTCATCCAACTGTAAACTTTTTGGTTTTGAACTTGGTGGCAGATAAACGAGTAGGTGAGAAAGTTATTAGAGAAGGAATAAGGCTGAAAGATCAACACAGGCATCATTTTAATGTGAGGTTTTTGCAACTGAGGCTTCAAAACACTGTATTGGACAGATTTTTAAGAACTTCTTCAAACATTAGTTTGAGAATTGTATTTCAGTGTCAGTTTTCTGTTCGTTAACTAGATGTTAAAAAGGCTTTCTTGAATTTTGTTTTGGTAGGTTCAGGTTTATTAGTTGCAGCTCAAGATGCTACAGAAGATGAGGAAGCTGTGGAAGATACTGTAGTTGAAGATGAGGATGATGAAGCTGAAGTTGAAGAAGATGAGCCAACAGACTTGGTAGTTTTACATGAGTGTTACTTCAGAAGTATGAATTAGACCAAAAGTGCTTCAAGCTGGATAATTTACGCATGAGTTTAGTAACATTATTTTCAAATAGCTGTTTCCACATGTCTAATTAAGCTTGTGTTCAGTTTGAAGTGTCAAAAGGATTTATCTTTTCTTCCTGAATTACAAGTTGAGAAACCACATGGGGACATCCTGCCAAAACTGTAGGTCACAAAAAAGAACACCAAGTGAGAGAAACAGATTCTCATGGGAGCCCCCGTAGTTCTTTTGTAGCTTAAGCTGCACCTCAGTAAACTGAGAAAAAGATTGCGCTATTGGACTACTTAATTCTGGCTTCTTTGTATCTACTTTCCAGGGGCAACAGAACATCTGTTTTGTAGCCCGTTTTCACTTGCTACATTCCTAGCCTCTGACACTTGTTGCAGGGTATATTGTGAGCATGTTGCTGTTTAGGATCACTTGCTTCAGCTTGGCACACGTTAAAAAAATTTCTTTGACATAAGTTTTCCCTCAGCAGAGTCTCAGATGTCTGATTCCAGGAAAAAATAATTTAATAATTGAGTGCTACTGCAATAGGGACAGCTTGAGCTGGGTCCCTCTGGAAAAGAACCCTGAACAAAATCCCTGGGCTTTTATACTCTTACAACCTGTGCACCTGTTCTTTGTGCACCTTGCACATGCCTCTTGATTTAATGGTGATTTTTGTTCTGGGGTCTTCTTGTTCCTTATTGAGTTATTTCTCTATCTGTATTTATCTGGATGGGTTGCATCTTCTGCTGACAGTTGTGGCTTCCTAATGTTTCAGTTTGCACTGGTCTCACAGCCTCCCTTCACATAGCTAAGCAACAGTTCAAGATTTGTTCAACTTTTCAAGGTGAAAGTTTGCAGCTTGCAGCCTAAGGCTTCGGAAACCTTAGTTATTCATGCTAAGCAAAACTAATCTGACAAGACAACACAGGTAAAAGAATTCCGCTAACTAAACTTAATTTACAAGACAAATTAAAAAAAATTGAAAACAAAAAAGTTAAATACTTTGTCATTTTGTGATCTGCTTATAGGAGCTGAGTATTAGGTTTGCTAGACACTTAGTGTACAAAATTCTCTCAAATAAGGAAGTCTGGGACATTAGGCAAAGACGCGTAATAAGAACATAGACCTGGTAAACTGTTCTTTCGTTGTATCAGATTTTACTGATGTTGGTAAGCTGGTGAGCTTATGGTTGACCAGCTTTGCTAAGTGTTCAAAGGTATGCTATGTCAGTACTGACAGAGTATTATTAAATAACCTTTCGAATGTATTTTGCTTTTAATAAATAGTTTATGGCTTGGTTACAAAACATTACACTTTTTAGACATTTCTTTTATTTGTCACTGAAAGAGAAGATATACTTCAGCATAGCATCTTGAAATCAAGATGCTAGGTGCTCAGCTCTGGTTCCTGAGTTCATGGTATGTGTACGACAGATCCAGTAGGATATCCACTGCTTCAGGTGGTCGATTTAAGCACTGAAATCAAATGATCTGACTTGCAAGCAATTAGCTGAGACTGTTCAAGACTGGTCAGTCTTGTTTTTATTTGGTGGGGGCAGTGATGATCCCATGATCCCCAAGTGGAAAATAAGCCTTTAATGCTTGCATTTACCAAATTAAAAAGTTCGTCACAAAGGTGAACTTGAACAACTGGGTCCATGAACTTGCTTAGTTCCAGCAGTCTAACCGTTTCCAGGCATACATACAATTAACTAATGAAAACTGAATAGAAAGCTACTAAACACTCCCTCTATGGTGAAAGTAACTCTCATTTGTCCTATGGTTGTCTGTATTTTGGAAGTTCTTGTTTTCTAAATAGGAGTATCTTAGATGTGAACACTTAACATTTAGACTCTGTTCTTTTCCTTCTACCCCCAAACAGAAACCACGCTGATGCTTTCTGATTATAAACCTTTCAATAGAGCTAAATGCAGTTCAGATTAGTACTGTGTCAAATATAACAAGTAGAAAGAGAAATGCTGAAAGTGATGCTAATCAAGTCTAGAGGGAGACTGACTGTGCTAATCCTGCAACAGTAGGATTTGGTACTTGCCGTTGTTGCTTGCTTTGCCACATGGGATTCTCATGAACCAAGCATGGTCTTTGCTTCACTGTTCATTATAGGATTTTTTCAAAAAAGTCTCTTGTCTTAGACAGAAGAAAAAGAGGAAGAAGACTTGTCGGGAGAGCCTAAAGCCTCACCTAGTGCTGATACAACCATCTTATTTGTGAAAGGTGAAGGTAAGAGACCCCTGCTAATCTACCATCCTCTTTACCAATGCTTAGACTATATCTGTGTGCATAAACCAATGAAGCTCTAAAACCACAGAGTCTGTTCTAGGTGCTCTCTGTTGAGAAATTGGCTAGGTGTGGTGTATGAAGTTTCTAATGGTCGAATATTTTTTTGTGTTTCAGACTTTCCAGCGAACAACATTGTAAAATTTCTGGTGGGCTTCACCAATAAGGGTACAGAGGATTTCATTGTTGAGTCTCTTGATGCTTCTTTCCGGTATCCCCAAGACTACCAGTTTTACATTCAGAACTTCACAGCTCTCTCTTTGAACACAGTAGTTCCACCACAGAGACAAGCCACGTTTGAGTACTCTTTCATCCCTGCTGAGCCTATGGGTGGTCGTCCTTTCGGTCTAGTTATCAATCTTAACTACAGAGATGTAAACGTAAGCCTGATGTAATTAATCTGAATCTTCCTAGTTAATGTGGAGGTGTCAGGAAAGAACTGCTCAGTTGAGTTACTACTGCTTCATAAAGTGAATGTGTTTGTAATATTTAGCTGAATCACTAGATACATAAGCACAGTAAGTGACTGTTTACATGTTTCACATTAGCTGCCCAGGCACTCTCAGTTCTTTATATGTTGCACTTAAAGTTGTGTCATCAGTGGAAGCTAGAAGGCCTTAGAACTGTATAGTAGTGGGATGTACTCCTAAAAAACCAAACCAACTAACCAAAGCTAAAGCTCTGTTTAGGATAACTTAATTTTCACAGTGCTTTTCAGATTGGACTATGCTAACAAACCCTACTACCAACCTGAATGCCACCTGCAAACTTTATTTTAGGCAAATAAATGGCCAATAGTTACAATCTGGGGGAAGACTATGCAAAAGCATAAATAGGGATAAAACAGGGGATTCTTTTTTTCTTTTGGTGCAGGTCAAAGGTCACAGGCTTCTGTACCTTTGTGTTTTGGTAGTCGTAATAAGAACCCGTAGTATGTAATATCTCTTGTTATAGGAAATAACATACTGAAGGCCAGGTGTGACTGTCTTGCTAATATCAAGACTGTTCTTTGCAGTTGGAGCGAAACATTTGTGCTTTTATGTGTTGAGTCAAACCAGCACTACTTATTAACTTAATAAAGTCTTATGCAGGAGTTACTGCTTTCTAGAATTTTTCCAAGAACATGGAAAAAGATAAACATTTGTGTATGTGTTTAACAAATTAGTTTGAAATGTTATGTGCAAACTTTGTTATAGGGCAACATGTTTCAAGATGCTGTCTTCAATCAAACTGTTACAATTATTGAAAAAGAAGATGGACTGGATGGAGAAACGTAAGGAGACTGGAGATGCAAGTTTAGTTTGTGTCCTGGTAGAGCAGGTTACTGATGGTGCCAGTGAGAATAGTTTCTGTATCCTCATTTTATTGAATGTTAGGTCTGCTATGTTGATGGTGTAGCAGGCATCTGACAAATACAATGCTGACAGACTGAAAATAAGAACTTTTTCCCAAAATTAAAGTCTGTATTAATAGTGGGGATCTTCAGGATTGGTACTATGTCAATGAGCAGTTTACAGATGTGCTTTAGCTCAGAGGACATAAGCCTGGAATAGGACCGGATGTTATACAGGTACATAGCAATTCCAAGCTGTTATGCTACTGTGGTTTTTCCTAAGAGTTAAGAGGTGCAGAGGGTCCATAGTATTAGGCTGTGGGCCCTGCTGTCAAGACTGGAATAAATTTCTTCTGGAGCACTCCAGTATAATCTAAGGTTATATAAACTAAAAGATGTATTTGGAGTACAAGGTAGAGGAACTCAATCATTCTTTGCACTATCCCCTATTTGTAGAAGGTATCTTTCAGGAGTGATTCTTTTCAGAGATAAGTAGATCTGACAAACCTTATATGTCTTAAGCATATACTGTGCTCATATGCTTTTAAATGTTTTAACACTGGAGTGGAATTTTAAGTGAACCCCTGAGTTAAAAAAAATTATTCTTCAGAAGTACTTATAGACAATGTTAAATATCTGAATTGTCCTACCACAGGTAGAAATTGCCTGCTGAGCAAGCTTCCTTTTAAAAAAGGTCAGCCAAAAGAAATAGCTGTTGCATTAATTCATATTTCTCAAATAGAATGACATAAATGAAAGAAAAATTGGTCACACGAAAGAGTGTGATACTCTGAAAAAGGAGCTCTCAAAAGAATTCAGTGTGTTAGAACTAGTTTGTGCAAATGTCCTGTGAATAATTACCCTATAACAGGGATTTTCAATTAAGTCTCTTGTTTAGTTTAATTCCATAATTTCCTTTATCATAAATCTGAGTTCAGATGTTCAGCTTGGAATAGGTTTTTTACCTGTAAACTGCCTACTTCCCAAATTAATTTTAGATCTAACTTATATTCACCTCTTGCTAAGTATCTACTGATATTTCTGGTAAAATTTTTCAAAACAAACCTAAATACACAGATTAAAAAAAACTACTGATTGCATAGGTAGAATTCTAACTGTGGAACACAGAACAAGATAAGCAAGGTCTTTCAAAGCTCTGTTGCAAATAAATTAAGTCCTACCGGCACTCGCTTTGCAGTGGTGTACTAAAAGCATGTAAGAGATTTTTAAGGGGTTTGTAAGTGCTTGAAGCTATCACAAACATAAATATTGCCTATAATCCAATATCTTGAAACTTCATGATAGTGCAAAAAAGTTCTTGAAGTTACATAATTTCAGTATTTATTTAGAACAGTTTTCTAATTTATAAAGCATTTTTCAAATGTTCTGTTGTTCAGAATTAATTTTGATTACAGTTTCTGAAGTCAGAGTCAGAATATTTGTTAGCACTTCAGTTTCAAAATCATTGTTTTTTTCCCCCACTCCTCCCCTACAAAAGTTCATATGTGGCCAAAGCTAGGCTTAGATTCTGTGCCTCTGTGTAAACCCTCTTCAGAACTTAAGATTTTCATTTAATGGTTTCTTAAACTGTTTTTTAAAGGATCTTCATGTACATGTTCCTCGCTGGACTTGGTCTACTTGTCATTGTTGGCCTACATCAGTTGCTAGAATCTAGGAAGGTGGGTAGTGTGTTTGTCTATGTACTTGTTTTAATACAAAACCTTTCTGATATGAAAGAAAGCAATTCAGTAATTGTTTCTGGAATATGACAGTACAAGTAAAACTTCAGAAGATTTATTTTTAGAACCTTAGAGCTTACTGGAGAAACTAGAGAGTTTTTTAAAACTTCATAACCGAAGACATTTTGATTGCTCAGCTCATGCTCTTTTGGTCTGCTCTTTGGCACCACACTGAAGCTGAATTGGAAGCTTTGATACCTTCCAGTCACTGGATGTGTGTGTCTTCTCATTCACTACTTACTAGGTAGATTTTCCCCATGCTCTCTATTTCTGCCTATTAGTTTAATCCAGAACAGACTTTGGGGAAAACAGCTGTCTAGTCCTTTATTTAGTTCTCATCAAAGCTTTGCCATAATGCTGATTAGGCATTTGTAATTCCATTTGTAATTGCATTAATTTAACTAATAACAACTAAGGGTTTGTCTGTGTATGTGGTTTGGCAAGTAAAAACTGTTGAAAGCTTGAAGTCTCATCTGTATGCAATGAATAGGTGATGCCTTTGTGCGGTGTGGCTTACCATATTTTTGAAGTAGCTTCACTTGGGAAAAAGTATGGGATGATTATTGTGTGTTGACATCTATTTTGCAAGGTGACATACAAGAATGTTGTACTAATCTGAGAAAGCATAATGAAACTGGTCATCACAAAGTTTGATTAATCATCAGCTATTTTTTGCAACAGGTATAATGAACTTGCCCAGGTGTGCATGAAATCTTGATGTCTTTATGTGGAATAAGTATTGTGAGGCATAAGAAGTGGTAATGTGAGGCTTGAGGAATAAATTGCTATTAGGAAGGATAGCTTAGCTTTAACTCCAAAGACAGCTCCATACATTGACTAGCCTTAAGTTTGTGCCTTAGTGAAATAATTACAATTCATTAAATATAGCATTTTTAGTAATTTCTTATACTTGTGCTATCCAAACCTTCTTTGAAAGAAAAATCTTTTCTTTCTTGAATTTTCAGAGGAAAAGACCGGTACAGAAAGTAGAGATGGGAACATCAAATCAAAATGATGTTGATATGAGCTGGATTCCCCAAGAAACTTTAAATCAAATAAGTAAGTATTCTGCCTTCCACAAACTGGAGCATCACAAACCTACTTGATCAATTAATTATAATGGAATAAGTAACTGATACCCATTTCTCAGAACAGCATCCAACTCTTCTAGGGAATAAAAAACTGTCTAAAGCACTGTGCTTAATGATTAGACTGTTACTTTAGCAGCCTGGTCTTTATTAGATCAACCAGTGAAGTTTGTTCTATAATGACTATTGGTGACTTTTACAATTTGGTCTGTAGACTATTTTTTAACAGTATAAAATCTCTACAAAGGAGGTTTAAATAGGAGAAAATAGCTGTCATCTCAAAGTTTCTGTAGGTTGTTTGGAAGTTTGCCTGTAGACCAAAGTTTTAAATGAGTATTAGAAGTGTATATTAACTAAAGCCACATTAAAACTTGGTATTAATGTCCTTCACAAATCCAAAATGATTAAGTTCTACTTGATACCTGAAATGACAACAGTAAACTAAATATCTGATTTCCTTAGACTGTTTGTGGATATTTCTAACTTCTCTTACTCTTTCTTTTCTTTTGCTTTCCCATGGCTTCAGTGCAGAGTAGAAGAGGTGAGGCAAACCCTTTGTGAGCTGCAGAGTGAAAGTGGTTAATGTGTTGTCCATGTAATAATTGGACATGGATAGAAGTACAGCTTCCTGCATGCAATGCCTGGTGATGTAGCATGAGCAGTAAAAGATAACAGAACAGATGCGTGCAATGGCACAAACACATTTTATGTACTTCTAAATTTATGTTTTCATGTATTTTGTGTATGCATTTCTGGTTATATTGTAGTTACATAGTTTCAGTAGGATGCTGCTGAAGCACTGTTGTCTCTTCTAACAGTTCCCAGAACTCTTTATCTAAAAGGCAGATGTGTATTTTGCCTTCTCCACTACCTTAGTGTAATGTCAAACTGATATTACATAAGGACAGTGGAGGGAGTGTTCATGACCAATAGCTGAGTGCATCTTGTTTCAGTGAGAAACAAACCTCACCCTTGGGTATAATAATTTACTAATCAGATTTATCTTCCTGTGTCTTCCTTATCCTGGGTGAACTATCATCAGAAGCATTGTCTGGTGTGAGGTGGGAGAGCCTCAACAAAGTGCATCCTAGATGACATGTAAAGAGAAGTGCTTTGAAAACCCTTTGTGGGACCTACCTTTACTTGGCAAAGACTGCTCTTTTGATGAAATAAGCATATTCTGAGCTTCATTCAGTGTAGAAGGGCTAGAGGCCTTAGCTCTGATGTGTGCCAGGAGCTGATGACTTTGCTTTTTTTATTCCTTCACCCTTTTTACTCTATTTACATGACTATTGCTCTACTTGTGAAGATGTAAGCTTTCTTGTACGTTGTTTTCTGTGAGACACAAGAATGATAGTGTAAAATCCAGGCACAGAAATCTGAAGTGTCAATCTAGCAAGAAAAACTAAATGCTATATTTTTTTTTAAATAACAAGCTATCTTTAAACAGGTTCAAATCCTGGTAATGTTTGGGTCCTGTCCCAGTCCCTTTCTTAAGACAAATAGATATTCATATCTTTTCATATCTGAAGTCTAGGAAAAACTGATGTAAGTTGAACAATTAAGTTGTTCTTAATTGTTGTTTTCTCAGCTCCAGGTTAGCTTCAGTTAGAACTCTACATTAGAATTCTTTAAAATATGTGGCCTTCAAAATCTTGGAGGTTCTTGAATTTTTATTGCTGAAAGACATTTCATACTGTACTGATTGGCTCATAATGGCATGATGGCTGCTCCTTGTGTTTTCACATACTCTAAACAATGAAGTTATTGGAGATTGTTCTGTTTTAAGAAAATGTGCGGTTTTTAAGTCAGCAGGTGTACATAGCAATCACTTTAGCACTTCATACAGAGTATTGAAGCTTCTCTACAATAATCATAGAACCATAGAAGGGTTTGTATTGGGACCTTAAAGTTCATCTAGTTACAACCTCCCTGCCATGGGCAGGGACACCTTCCACTAGACCAGGTTGCTCAAAGCCCCATCCAACCTGGCCTTGAACACTCCAGGGATGGAGCAGCCACAGCTTCTCTGGGCAACCTGTTCCAGTGCCTCACCGCCCTCACAGTCAAGAATCTTCATATGGGGTATCTGATTACAAAGTGCATCTTCATAGTCAAATGTGGATGCTTTCTGGAAAAGTGGGGGTTTTCACAAGAAAAACACTTATCTTCAGCTGCTAATCTATATGAATGTGGAAATGCTTTAATGCTTTATGCAAGAGAACTTGCTTAAAGGAGAGTCAATCATAAATTCTTTAGGAAGGCAAACTCAAGTCAGTATTGATCAAAATAATTCATTAACTTTATGGAAGCGTAATTACCAAACGTGAAAGTTTTCTAAACAGACAAGTGGGGTGGAGATGGTGTAGGTTTTTGGTTCTGGGTTTTTTCGTATTTTAGTAACTGGCTAGAGCAAACCTCACCCTGGAGTTGCATGTTACAGAATGGAAGCGTTTTTTTGTTACCTTCTATTTAGTATGAAAAAGGCTGAACAAGTTGCTTGAATTGGCTTCTCTGTGGTGATACATTGCATTAGCGGGGCAGTTTGCCTTCTGTTTGGGAGGAGAAAAATACATAGTCACGTAACAATTGCAGTTGATGCAACTGTAACTCCTTTTTTCTTTTTTTTCCACCCAGATAAAGCTTCACCGAGGAGGTTGCCCTACAAGAGGGCACAGAAGAGACCAGTGGGCTCTGATGAGTAATATTAACTAAGTACAACAGTTGAACCTTTACTAATCCTGCCTGTTTGGGTTTTTTTGGAGTAGTGCAGAGAATCCATATCACCATAAGGAAAATATTGCTAAACATTTGGACTGAACAGATTAACTGAATGGTGTTAATATTACTGAAAATGCACTTCTCTTTTAATTTTTTTTTTAATTGTTGGGGGGTGGGGGAAAGTACCTGTTAAGGTTTGTGCCTGCGTGTGTAAGCGGTTGGTCTTAACAGAAACATGTTACCTGAAATGTGCCTTTAGAGTTCTTTGTAATGCTGGCTTGTCATCTGTACATTGTCTTTGAAGGATTTTTCTCCTCTCCCTAATCTGAATGTCTAGTGACTTAATCCGTCTTGATTGTATCATATCTGTAACAGAATCTGTATGCATTTCTCTTCTTCAGTAAGTAACATTATTCTTTACAGCATGCACACACTGAAGTTTGTGTGTGTGGTCCCATTTCAGTGGCCAGGCACTGATCATCTAGACTTCTGCATAGTTTGCATTCTAAAGGCACAATTGGGTATAGCTGCTTGTAGTGGTAGATATTTTGCTGCTGTTTTGATCTGGGCATGCAGTGACCTAAAAATCTGAACTTATCTGCATAGATGTTAGAAAGACTCTTACACAGCAGCAGAACTCGTGAAGCATGGAATTTGTGTGCTGAATTGGTATTACTACATAAATCTTTTTTATACCCAACTTCTTAAATGGTTAGTTATTTGAGTCGTGCCAGCATTTTAAGTATTCTGATTATAGTGGTAGTTCTGCAATGTTTACTCAAGAAACTATTGAACAAGACAGAACAACTTTTCAGTAAGTTCTTGGTTCTCTCTCCTAAAAACTAGAATGCCATATGTATCCAAATGTTGATTTGTGGCTTTTTTAAAGCTTTACAAGGATTTGCTGTACACACTTGAAACTGACTTTGAAAAATGGTTGGCATCAAAGAATTTTTTTGTTGGCAAACTATTTAATTTACCCTTTATGGTTTTTAAATCTCACTCATCTTTCTGCTGCTCAGTACATTGGTCTGAATTATTTTTTTTCTCACTTTGTCTTTCTTACTAGTAACACAGACGCATATTCATCACTAACTACATGTTATTTCAGTACTCGAGCAGAAAAGCTCTATGAAATCAAAATGAGATTCCCTTTTGTGGCTTATGTGATTACCAGGTACTGAGATATTGATCCACATCCACTGCATTCAGGAATTTAACTGACAGGGAAAAGAGCAGATATGCAGAGTGTCAGTTTGCTGCCATTCAGGCACTTGGACAAGGCGTGAATTGTTTGCATCTCGTTTGCATCTCAACTGCATCTCTTCCTGTGTCTGAAGGTTATCTGGAAGCTCGTTGAGGTCAGGAAGAGCCATCAATTTGAGACCTCTGTCTTCTTTCCCTGACCTTTCTGATCCCCACCTGTAGAAATGCTCTTTTAGGTCTAAACTTGCTTTGCAGGGGCTGAGCTTCTGAGTCAATGAATGCTGAGCAATATTTCCAAATCCTGTCACAGTGTGTTTGAAGCATCTAAGCTCTGAAACTACCTATACTGGCACTATTTTATTATACACTTTGCCAGAATGAACTGTGAAGATGTTCTTGACTCGTCTTGCTATGGAAGAGATGCTTTATTCAACTTTTTGAAAATATAGCTAGTCCAGGCAGAATATTTTTTGCAGTTAAGATTGCTTTGTTTTCATACAGATCACTTAGCAAACAGTTGAATGCTGCCTTCATAAGAGGTATCTCCACTCAAGTTGTGTGGAACAACTTTTTTTTGCCTTTAGTGATGTAATCTGTGATTCTGTGGTAGGTTTGAGGGCTTATATTCAAGCTTGCATTAATTCAACAGAGTGTTTCTGTATTAAATGCTTCATATTCTAAAGCCCTATATTTATTGCAGCACCTGATACACTGAACTTTTAAGTTCCCTCTTTTGGATTATGTCTCTAACCTGACATCAAGAGGGGTTTTTTTTTTTCACCTTTGGTAATAGGTCATCTTGAACTGTGTGCTCTAATTCTTCCCAAGGATCAAAGGCACTCTCTGAGGGGGGGGGTGATGACAGCTGCTCTAGAGACAGTGGTATGCCAGGAAAAAAGACAAAGGATCAGTACAGAGGATGCTAATTTGTAATACTCTGGTTTTATTTGTTGAGATAAATAGATTAGCTCTTACTGAATGAGTCCTGGAGCAAGTGTGGCCTTTAGAAGCTGAAGGACTGTACAAATAAGAAGGAAGTACTTGAAGGTTTCAGTTCTTTTCTCTGCACTTGGTGGTTACCTTCCAAATGCTTAAGCTCTAAGCATGAAGGAAGAGAGGCGGCATCTTGTGTAGGAATCAGCACTGGCAGTGTCCAGTTTTGTATGATCTTTCTGATCATACAACTTGCCATTCACTGTGGATGGTTCTCAGTAATTTTCTCAGCCAGAAGCAGTTCATAAGAACAGTGGCCAATAGACCACTACTGCTCATGATAAATGTTGTAACAGTTTTGAATTACTTGTTTCTCTTTATTGCTAAGTTTCAACTAAAGCAAATTAACATTCCAATATGCAGTGGAAACTGAACTTTGGCATCTCTAACATTATTTCTAGTGAATAAGCCGGTCTACTATACTCATTTTTCTTCAAATGGGAGAGTATAGTTGCTGCTTTATCCCATTGGTTAGAGACTTTTATTTTGGTACTTGAATTTTCTACTCCGTTTTTAAACACATAGAGATAGCTTAGTGTCACAGGTATGTTACTGGATATCATTATTATCAGCTGTGTAGGGTATCCTTTCACTGACTTAAATATGAGACATAGCAATTCTACCTGTCTATGCCACCCCTTTCCACGTGGCAGCATAAGCATTATTATAATCTAGAGTTCTCACCACTATTCAGCTGGCGTAGTACACTGCCACACCACTGCTCCTGTGAGGTTTTGAGAAAGTTTCACAGTGAGAACTGTAAAAGATGTGGGCTAGAGTTTCTTCCTTATTAGTAAGAGATGTTAAAGTGGTTTTAGACAGCACATAAACTATGGCCTTAGAGTGAAGGACCACTATTAATTCCTTTCTCACAGCTCCTTAACTTACTCAAAAAAATTGTGCAGACTTAAAAATTCCACACTTGGGGCAAGAAAAACTGCTTTAGAGTTCATGTCTACAAAGCATTAATTGAGCTACATTTGAACTGCATGGGATACTTGTAGCCCTCTGTATGCTGTCTGCTTCATGACAGCAGTTCATTTTTTCCCAGTATCATTTAATCTGAGAAAGAAGAGTGGTTGCTGTCAGACTAAAGGATTGAAGCATCACCCTAATTCTTCATGTACAAAATTATTAAATTGCAGGCTTCAGAGCTGAATGGAGCAGACTAGTGATGGTAGTGCTTGTTTTAAAGAGTTATACTGAAGCTCTTTCTTAGCTTGGAGCGGGTATAATCAAAATTATCATTCACTGACTATTCCTGGAATGCATGGTGCTAAACAAAATGTTGCAGGTGAAAGCTCTGAATTCAGGAAAGTAGCAGGGAAGCCAAATAATAATGTGGGCTGGTTGTCCCATTTTTCAGTGTGCCTAATGTACTGAGCAGTAAAGAGTTTGTTCTCTTTTCTCCTCCAAAGGAAGGACACTGCCTACCTCATAGGAGTGACACAAGGGCTGTTTCAAGAGCGTTTTGAAGTTATTTGAGGCTTGCACAATACGCTTCCATGGAGGTAGTAAGACATAGCACTAGTGTAGCTTGCTGGCAATTGCATACATAGATCCATACTGTACCTGTTTAGTCCCCTCACTGAACAGAACTCAGCAGCTTTACACTTAGACGTGTCTAAAATTCACAGAGGAATTGCAATTAACTTACAGAGGAGAGCAAAGCCAGAAAAATCTCCTATTTTCTGCAAAAGCTTATGGGCGGGCTAAGTAACATTCTTCTGACATTTTTCCATTTATCTTTTCAATTTTCCCAGGGACTTTTTTTAATCAATTGATACAGATGATTGTTTGTGAAGCTACAATCAACAGTCAGTTTAAGAATGACTGATTGTTTTGGATGATTAAGTTCAGATGTACTGCAACTGAAGTGTTAAATTAACATTTATGTTTTTACCTGCTGACTTCCATTTATAAGTGAGATCAGATCTCTTTAAAACAGCTGCAGGTTTTTGTAAATTATACTTGATTTTTTTTTTCTTAGCATTGTGTAGCTTTTTTTCTTTTTTTAATAAAGCATGAGTATGGCACCAAAAAAAAGGCCTTTTCCTTGATAAGCAACCTGTACTTGCAAATATGCAAAGAGTGGAAAAAATACTATTCTTAAAAAGCTGCTTTCTGCAAGTGTAGTTGGGATGGAAATAATATTAAGCAAATACTCTGTTTTGGACAGTGGACTCATAATTAAGATTAGAATTCTTTATAAGAATGAGGGAGGGCCCTGGGAAAATGTTCAGTAAGTTCTTGAATCCTCATCTGTTAAAACTGAGCCATAATCCCCTACATTTCTAGAAAGAATAACCTCCTGTTAAAACCTAGGCAGTGGAAAAAGGATTTGTTAAGATGCTTAAAGGTTGCTGAAGCACAAGGTTTAAATAAGGCCAAATCCTTATGGCTTTTCCATGAATGCTGTTATCTGACCAAACAAACATGACATTCCAGGCAGTAATTCTGCAAGTAGCAGTTCCAGCAGGTATATTACATCCAAACAGAGCAAGGTAAGACTTGCTGGGGAAAAAAGCTAACAAAAATGGCTTAAAAATAAAGGATGCTGGGACTCCTGTATTTGTGAACTATATCTGTGGATAAATAAGGAAAAAATTAAAAGCAGATGTGTTGATGTATTTTTAGGTCCAAGAAGACATAAAAATAACTCTGAAATTTGAAGCCTACCTCGTCTTTCCCTGAAAAGATCAAGATAGGTTTTTGAGATCTCATCTTGGTATCTCTTCTTTCTAAACCAGTTTTTGCAGTCTATCTGCCTGTCATGTTAGTAGTCTTGGCTATAAATTTATATTAGCCAAGATGCAGTAATATTTCAGCATTACAACATCCCAGTCCCTTAACTGCTGAGGAAAAGCTGAAACTTAACCTGCCTTTCCTCCTCCCTCTCTGTCTGTTCAGCTGACATGGAAACCACAACTTGTCCTACCTTAACTGAGTTTTCCCTGTGCCACTTAAATTCACATAATGAAACCACCACTTAAGAGCTGGCTCTTTCACACAGCGAAGAGAATGCTTGGAGGTGATGTACTTACTCAGACAATTGTGAGACTAAGGGAGATTTTCAAGATGATCTCACAGTGTATATTCTAGTAAAGAAGGTTCAGTCCTGCCCCGCGGGGCCTGGATGGAGCTACTCAGTGTAATTTTCATAGACATGAAGCTGCAGTGGTGGAGCATGTGGGATTAAAGCCTTTACCCTGGAGATAAAATACAATACCGGGTTCACTAGATGGAAATTATTACAGCCAGCAATACCCAAATCTGCCAGCTGAGGGATCTCCCAAGCCTGTGACAACTGCTCCTCAAAACAGACAAGTACAAGAGAGCTTTAGCCCCTTCTCAAAGAGCAGCATCTACATGGATGGGTTAGAGCAGTTGTGTCTAGCCTTTCTTAATCATTCCTTGCTGTATCTTGGTCACCAGAGTAAATCTGAGCAATGTATTTTTCTGTGCTTTTCAGAAAATAATTGCCAGATGTGAAGCTTGAAGTCAGAAAAGCTGTAAACGGTTGTGTCTTGCATTTGCTTCCAGAAAACATGCCGTGTCAGTGCAAGGTGTTGCAGAGGCAAGGTTTATAGGGATGCTGCATACACACTGCCTCTGCCATCTGCTGTCTTGGTGCTGGTTCCACAGTCAGGTTTCCTGTGGTTAGAGTTGGATTAAATTGGACCTTTTAACCCCATATG